ACTACTTTGCTTAAAACAGAACAAATCCACAATAAACAATTTAGATATGTATTGATTGAGGCACCATCTAAATAGCTTTTTGTGTATTCCTGTCATTTCCCTCTTAGCTCTTTCATTGGTAGCGAACCTGAACTTGACTGTCCTCTTTTCATAATGATATCTGACAAGAATAACAACCATACAAACTCTTGGAGACCACAAGGTTTTCAAAAGAGGAAAGAAAGTTGCATGGGTAAAGAGAAGTTCCAAGACTGCATCAGTTGAACGGTTAGCTCGGTACAGGGTTATTTTATGCAAGATGTGCGGCTAGAAGGTGGTACTCTCAAATACCAGTTTCCTCAGGTTTATGTCATTGCTTGGTACAACAATGCATTGATACAGGATTCTTTTATTGGCAATATGGAGAACAGGGAGTGTTTTGTGGAGGTCATAAGGAATCTAAATGAATGGGAAGTTGGGGAGTATAAAGCCTTACTACTTACACTTGCCGAGGCTAGGCCTGACGACACAGAAGACTGACCCATTTGAAGCCGACTAGTGGGATTTTCTCTATTAGATTTTTTACAATTACCTGACAAGAAGAGAGATCACGGTTAAAGACTTTCTCTTCAAGCAAATTTGGAAGGTTAATGTTTCGCCTAGAATTGTCTTTTTTTTTTTTTTTGGCACGGGAGGCAATTAGAGGGTGCATTCTAACTTTGTTGATAAGCTTATTAGAACAGGAAAAATTCTGGTGAATGGTTGTTACTTGTGCAAAAGAGATGTGGAGTCATGCATCATATTCTTATGTGGTGTCCCTTTGCTTATGACTTTCAACCCTTGCTTACGGCGTCTTGGGCATTAATTGGGTAATGACTGACTTGGTGAGGGAGGAAATTTGGACGTAGAAAAGAATCAGACATGAGAAGAAGCATCTCGCCCTTATCCCCTTGCCATGTTTTGGGTACTCAGGAAAGAAATATGAAAGTTTTTTGAAGGAAAGGAAGGGGGTTTTGATAGGGTTAAAAATAGTTAGTTCCAGACCCTATTTTATTAAGGGTTATTTTCTTTATTTTTTTAGAATTTTGGGGACCTTATTGGTATTTTGATCGATATGTAAATATTCTTATATAGGGGTTTGCACCTCCTTGGTGCTTGTGAATGAATCTTATTATACTTTTTATTTCAAAAGAAAAAAAAAAGAATGATCGTAAAATTTCACAACCAGAATATGGCTTAGTTAGAAAGTTTCAAGGATATTTCAGAATACAAGCAAACATACAAGTAACATGTTGACAAGAAAATTAAGTTCCCTGAAATTTCCACATTTTCTAGAAAGCAAAGCACTGAAGTAAAAGTACAATAAATCAAACTGAAGAGTTGAGAAAGATGATGAATCAAAAGCCAGGCATACAATATGTTCGTTATGTTGGGAGAAAATTACGAGGTAACACTCACATTTTGGCTACTTCAAGAACACCTTCTCTGCATGTCATCTCAGAAAGTTTAAGCTTTTCAATTTCTCTGTTACACATAGAAAAACAAAGAAGATATAATTCACTATTCTCAAGAAGCACCACTTTAAGCTGATATTATTTTTTAGAGAAAAACTATTTTAAACGGATATGATAGCAATAGGGATACTCAAATACCTTCAAAAAAATCCAATATTGGTAACAACCCACAACTATTAAGATGATTTCATGAAAAACTCCTACAGTCACTGGCTATGCAAGTTAGAATGAAAAGCAAAGAGCAAAATTTTTTTCAACTTGATGATATCATCAAACTACCACAGTATCTCTCAAGATTACCAAAACAAGGCACACGTGTGAGGAACTATAATCTTGCAACCATGGAGATTAAGTGTAAAAACCTCTGAGTGTGATAAATCCATCTTATCATGTTATCTATAGGGATATCAATTACATCCCACGAGAGAAAAAAAATTCTTACGTTTTCGCTGCTTGCTTTCCCTTCCCAATGGCGGCACCGAAATATCTCTATGTTGCAAATTGAAAGAAATTCCAGTTAGTGAAGTATCTGATTTCACTGCAACTTTAAGTAAATTAAAAGCTGAAACCATAATCAACAGTTTAAACACTTTTTAGAAGATAAATCACAAATTCATATTAGCATAAATCAACTCACATATGAGATGCCAGATGGCTCAACCATGTACAATTGAGGTCCATCTCTATCATAACCTCCAAGAATTACCCCACATCCAAAGGGCCTGTATTATTAAATATTGTTACCAAATATGTAATGAATGAAGCGTTTTGAATTGCAAAAACATAAACTATTTCAGCGAAAATAGTCCACGTTAAAGTTTACACACCTGAGCCACCAGTAGAGAGTGCACAAATGAACATAACTTGCAACTCGCTCAGAGAGTTCCTTCACAGGAATGGCTTCACCATAGACACTGCATCATTGCACCACCATCAATAAAAATCTGAAACCCAATTCCCAACCTTTAACTAAAAACCGCATCTGTGAAATAGCATTGACATGAACTCAAGATATTTCATGCGGCATAAAACATTTTTTTTTTATAAAAAAGGATGGACGATAACTGACACTTGCACAGTTATCCTACTACCTCCAAACTATGGTTATAAGAATGCAATTCGAAGAAATTTATCACATGCCAAGTAACTTATGAACACAGACTTAACTCTGAAGAAAATATCGTAGAACTCAAACTTTGAATAAGGGGCTCAATATGTTCTACGTGCATCAAAGAAAAAATGTTCCAAATTTTGAGTAAAAAGGTTCTCATAGAAAAATTTATAGAAAACACCAAATTTCCTCTGAATAAACTAGTCATAGACGTGAATTTCTTTTATGAAGACAAACAAAGAGGAGATTCAACTAAAGGATAATAAACTACCCTCCAAAGGGCCAGAAAAAGGAAAAAATACAAAGTCAAAAAATAAATATAAAAAGTAATGCCCCTTTTTTGGGATAGAAATGGTATAAAAAAGGAGAATGGAAAAATTATGAAGGTATGGAATAAGATATCCTCCTAGAGTTCTCTTATTGAGAACTCAACATACCTACAGCATACAATCAAACCCACTGATAGTCGGGAGACTATCAACTCACAACTTCTATGAAGCATAGAAATAGTAATATCAAATAATCCAATCCCTCTTAATTGTAGAAAGAGGAACTTCCCAAGAGAAACCATGTGTTTTAGCCCAAAGAGAAGCTAACAACAAATCAGATATGTTGCAATGACTTAGGCACAAGTGCTGGGTACGGAGCATGGATCCAAGTGTCTAACTTGGCAATTTATATAGTCAAACGACAAAGACTCAGTCAATAAGAGTAAAAAAAATTGGGATTTGGTACTTATAACAGTATAGTAAAAAGAAATTTCATACACTTTAAGATAAACTACCTCCTAAACTTAAGCTGTGAATGAGATTAAAGTTTTAGCATTTGGATAAGGCCAGTTAAATAAAGCTGCCAAAGCTACACATGCTATAAATCTGTATGCCAAATCCATACATGCACCAGAACACACACATGCCTAAAAATTTGAAGCCCAAATGTATTTGTAGACTCAAGTTCATACATGTACTCCACAGCCCAAATCCATATCCTGGCCACAGCCCAGAGGCCATATCCATACAATATATACTAGTTCCATTTAATAAATCCAGGCTAAAGCATGTCACAGCTCCTTTAACATTTTCATAGCCACTGAAATTTCAGTAGTTTCACTTTTCTGCTCGCATAGTTTAGATGGTTTCTTTCTTTACCTCTCCTTCTCTCTTCTCGAAATTTCTCTCTCTTCTCTGTTTGAACTATTCAGGTAAAGTTTCCCCTCTACTGCCTTCTATCGAGCAGTACCCACCATCATCGTCCTTTCCCCCTCTCGGCAAACCAGCACCGACATCCTATTCCTTTGTTTTGTGAACTACGAAAGCACATCAAGCACACATTAGGGAAAGAAAAATTTGGGGTGAACCTGAAGCAAGTTGTTGATATTAATCTCTACTAAGCACCAGTGCCAAATAAAAGCTCTCACCTTAGGAGGAACTTTAACTTTACAGAAAGAGGAGACAAGAAGGATATCCTTGTTGCTACAGCAGTAAATGAAGTGATAAAAAAAAAAACTTCCAGGCATAGACTCTGAAGAATCAAGGCACCAAATTCAAGAATTAGGCCTGGAAGTGGGATCACAAGCACCTACCAGAGAGATCAAGGACATCAAGTCACAAGTTCCCTCGCCATTGAGATTTCTCAAAATGTGGAGATTCCAGGATATATGATTATCATAAAGGGGCAAAAAGGAAACGATCAGAGAATTATCTCTAATAGGAAGTTTTTAAAGACAAGGAGAAAGAGAAAAAAGTGGTTTAGCCCCCAATCACCAATCTTCCGAAGGAAAAGACCTGTCTTCCATCCTAACTCAAACAAGCTAGTGTAATAAAAATATAATTGACAACTGCTTTCCAAGGGCTTGTATCCTAACCATTCTGGTATAGCCTAAACTTGCTTCCGTCTTTTGGACCCTAAATAACTAAGACCCAATCTGCCTTCCATCTTAAGAAAGCAAAAAGCCTCCCATTTAACAAGATGATCCCCATTATACTCGCAACATCTGATGATAATTTGTCTTAAGTTTCTCAATCCTCTAAGAAAGCTCAACAAGAATTTTAAACAAGGAGTGCTAGATAAATATGAATTCCAAAAAGTTACTCAAACATCAAGAGAGAAAAGGGCTTCCTTCCAACTCTCTAATCACTTTAAAGATTTTCCCCATAAACAATCTTGAAAAGAAGACCTAGAATTCCCTCTCAAATGCATCCCCAACATTCTTCTCCAACCAACCACTCCAAAACACAACATCTTTTGGGCTAGCCAAACTCCTAGTAATATTCTTCTCCATGTTCATACCAGCCAAACTACTTTTGGACAATTGATCTTTAGACCAATATTACTTCAAAAATATACAAGATGGAAATGACACAAAGAAAAATAGAAAAAGAATGGTGTCATCTACAAATCGAAAATGAGAAACCTCGGCCTACTCACTCCACACATTAGCAATAAGGGAAGAACCATTTTTTTTTTTTTTAAATAAGGGAAGAACCGATTATTTGTCTACCTACAACAAAAACACTTTCAAGGGAAACCAAATTGCCCAACACCTCTTTCCTCTCTGCAGGTAAGACTTTAGTGATGATTTTTATAAACACTCATCAACTAATGAAGTGATAGTTTGTCACCGTAATGGCTGGTCCTACTAAGGCACCAATGTAATGAACGTTGAGTCTATGCTAGTGCAATGTTACCATTACAACAACCTCCTGAATAAACTTCTAGCAAGTCTCCTCCAACTAATCCAACAAATTTGGGGAAAGGCAAATGTAATCTTAGACATGCATTTGCACTGTGCAATGTAGATAAGCTAGGCTATTTGCAGGTGTACGCGTGTTATATCATCTAAATTTGCACTACTAAAATCCACTCTATCCATATTTAGAAGGTTACAGAATACCAAATCCTGAAACACTTCATGTTATTCACAGAATGGTCCAGCAAGAAGTTGGCATTAAGTGTTCCGCAAATGCAGCAACAAGTTACCTCTCATAGTTAGTTGCTTCAGATTTAGCACGGGCAACAATTTGTCTCCCATCAGCTGCTAATCCAGCAACAGCCTGACATTAGTAGTAAAGACGTCATAAATCATCAGGAGCAGTAGAAGGAAGAGAAGGAATAATGTACATAACAACAAGTAGCAGAAGAGGAGAAGAAAGACCCAAAAAGAAGAAGAAAGAAACTCTTCGGAGTTCAAACTATCCATGTTTCTCGTCAGTGAATCATTTACAGAGTAAAAATGGACATAAAATACACATTAGCAATCCGTCATTTACTAAGCCATAAAGAATAACAAGTGTCAAGGAATCTCTGATAAACTAACCAGATGCTACAGCCAAAAAACCAGATGAAAGAAAGCATAAATACCATGCCAGTATGACGATGAACAGAATGGATTCTTCGGTTGGAACCAGGTAACATCATCTTTGACGCTATCAGCTTCTCCACGCCCTAAAGCCCCATAAATTTACAGTCTATATAGTTAGCAGATCAACACTCTTAAAACATTGTCCACTACCAAAATGACAAGCTTCATTGGTCATCAAAGCAAAGAGAACAGGAAATAAACCAAACGTACCATAACTATCCCATCTTTGCACTTGATACCAATAACAGTTCTGCAAAGTAAACCACAGTTAACCAGCTTGAATCGACTAAAACCCTATCCCTACCAAATCAAATCTGAAAACCAGTTCGACGAACTTTGAGAACGAAAATTTAACAGTAAAACCACGGATTCCATTTCAGAATCCACATTTTGTCAATAAAAAAAACGTACGAAACACACTCGCAATGGAGAAAAAGGGCGAGAAAGGGAACACACCCGCTGTTATCAACGGCTTTGGCGGCGTATTCGATCTGGAAGACACGGCCATCTGGAGAGAAAGTAGTGACGGAGAGATCGTAACCAGTTCCTATGCTGCTCATCTTGGATTTCTACTTCTATCCGTCTTCTGTTGATCTTCCCTGCTCTCTACTTTCTTCTCGGCTTTATTTAAAACACCGCAAAAAGAATGCAAAGTTTTCTTCGCTCCCACGACAGTCGCCATTGAATGCAGTGCATGATGGATCAATCTGGGCCTCAACAAATTCATAATTGCATACTCGGCCCGGCCCGGCCCGGCCCAACTTTTCAATTCCAACGAGCTAATATAAATATTTTGTTTGGATTATTTTTTATTTTACCCCAATTACATATAGAAACATATCATGATAATTAATTTTTAATTCTTAAAAAAAAATTAAAAAATTTATTTAAAATATATATATATATATATATATATATATATATACCATTAGTACCAAAATATCAAGTATTTTATATTATTTTCTGATTAAAATAAATTGATTTAACACAAAAAAAAAACCAAAAAATTCATTTAAATCTTTTTAAAATTTCAACCATATTGTTAATTTTATTACATATAAATATATTATAATAACTAATACTAAATTTTCAAATTGTACCCCAATGTAAACCAAATGGCTATTTTATTTCAACGTGATTGGTTTATAAATTACAAGCTTATAATATATATATATATATACTAGTACTTATATTTTCTTTTTCTTTGTTCACTAGCCATGTAAAAAATTTAAATGTTATATTTCATGATAAAATGTTAATTAATATTAAAGTATTTATTGTTATTTTTAAAAGTAGTCCTAATTCAAATTTCAATTAAATACCTTCTTATATATTTAAAAAAATAATTATTTAACTAATATGTCACTAATAAAAATTAATGATGCTAGTTTAAGTATCATATCACGTGTCAAATTTATTAATAATTAACATTTTCTTATTAGTTCAATAGTTAGTTAAATGTCACATTAAATATTATGTAAGGTACGACGTAACATTAAAAATTTTTGGACATTGTTTCGATTTAGGTTAATTCATAATAGTTTTTAAAAAACTCATATCCTCAGTTTAATAAATTTCGAAACTTGAAGCTCTCTTCTCCTTCGCATTCATCCCATGTTGGTTTTTACAAAATATATGTTTCGTCTCGTCTCACCGCAGTAATTTTCAATTTAAGATCCTTCTATAAATCAATAATAGTAAATAGGATGTTAAAATAACGACGAATATAGTAATATTGTTGCATCACGAGATATTCTTAAATGATGAAGAATATAGCAAAATTGTTGCATTCGTAGAGATTTTTACGCCATCTAATGCTAATAATGATGGAATAATTTTTGTCTATTTGAGATGATTAAGACGTAATCGAATATGTTAAAAATTATGTCATAGTTGATTTACAATAGAATTTTATAGAATTTTTATCAGTTAATCAACGAAGAAAACGACAGTCGATACACATTTCCTTATTTCCTAGCTTCATTGACTTTACTACCATCTTTCGTAGTCTGAAAAAATATAATTGTTTATGGTTTGTAATTTCGGTTCGATAGTAGTCGACTCCCCTATTCACAAAGAGCAAATGGTGTTTCGTCGCCTTCAAAGAAAATATTGCACGATGGAAATGAGGGGATCACAGGAAGAAGAAGAAGAAAAATAAGGCTTTAGGTTTTGAATTTATATATATATTTTTTAATTTTTTAAATTAATTTAAGCTCAAATTCAAAGTTAATTTGAACAACAATAAAGTATATAAAATAAATTATTATTTTAATTAAAATTTAATTATTATAAAATATCATCTTCCTAAATACGCATCTACTATTAAATATTGTCACATCTTTGCTAATTGAATAATTTTTATAAGTAAGTAACGAATTTTTCATTTCATTTTAATTATTAGATTTAGAAACATTCTACCTTAATTTATCCAAATAAAACATTATTGTAAAAAAACAAAAAAAAAGAAGAACAGTGTGTAAACATTGAAAGTAGGGCCCACGACCATAATTTCCCACGTGGCGACTTATGTGTGGGAGTGGGTCAACTTGACTTGCACCGTTTGACTAATTCCCACCAAGCTTTTTTTTTTTGTCCCCACCAAACTTTGACACCAATATTGTATTTATAATTTTGATAATTATTCTTTAATTCTTAATTAAGTTTATGATTTCAAAAATAATTTAAAAATAAATAAAAGTTCGTCGATAATAAATTAATTATCAAGATAAAAAAATATTAATTATAATTAAAATTTTGTGTTTTGATTAAATAAATTCAAAATTTATTGATAATGATATATTATAAACTGATAGAATTATAATATATGTAAAAAAATATTTTTTTATTAGAAAAAATGATTAAATTGTGAGATTAAGTGTGAAACTTATTAGATTGATGAAATTGATATTTAAATATTTTTTTTTGAAACGTATTGATTTGACCCTATAAACGACATCATCATTCAATAACATGTTGCCATCAAAATCCCCTATTTATCATATAGAATCTTATAATTATTTTATAGTAATTAAAAAGAAATTATTTAATTAAAAAAAATTGAGTTCATTTATAAAATATCTATTTGAAAATTTTTGTAACTCAATCATGTATTATGAAATTATTAAATATTTGACTATTACGAACTCTACTTGTAACTCACTATAGGCTTGAAAAACAACAAGAAGATGTAATTTGAAAATTTTAATTGAATTAGTTATTGTAAGATAAAAAATTTCGAGAGATAAAAAAATTTAAAAGAAATTAGTTATAATATTTAATTAAAGATAATTAGTGATCAAGATAAATTATTTATTAATTAAATTAATGTAAATTAAAAATAAATAAATAATTAAAATCTTTGCTGAATTTTAATTAAAAATAAATTATAATGAAAAAATATTATTTTTTATTATTTTAGTACGTAAAAAATAAATATAAAATATATTCAACCGGAAATAAATTCAAAATTTTCAAGTAGGTTGACTAACTACCGGATTCCCAGCTGGCGGTCAAGCGTACGCGATGGTCAAATGACGAATTACACTACTTTCTTCCTTCTTATTTTTTATTTTTTATAAATAAATATATTTTTATTTTTAAAAAAATTAATGAAAGCTCAGAGAAGAAGAAGAAAGGTGTCTATTTATTCTCAATCACTTTCTCTGTTTCCTTTCATGGCTGCACTAGAAGAGAAATTTCTCCGTTAGAAGTTCAGGAAGCTATGGGGAATTGCTTGAGGAAGCCTGTCAAGTGTGCTCATGTTTCTAATCTCTCTTCTGGTTCGTATTCTTTTCTGAAATTCTCATTTCTTCATCTTAATGATTTCTCTTTTCTGCTGTATTTTTTTTGCCTTTTCTAGTGATGGTACGTTTTTGTTCAAATTTTCATGTTCTGCCAATCCAGGCTAATATGGCTATTGAGTATTCTTCCCGATTTTCCTCGATGTAAAGAAAATATAATCACTGCAAATTTCTTTTGATATATACACACACACAGATACGCACATATCTGGTGTTTAGACGGTGAAGTGTTCTATCTTGAACTTCTTTTCTACTGTATATTTTTGCTGAATATTTGCCAAATTTCCTTTTCTTCTTTAGTGATCACACGTTTTTGTTAAAATTTTCAAATTCTAGCAGTCCAGGCTAATACGGCTATCGAGTATTCTTCCCGATTTTCCCCGATGTATAGAAAATATAATCACTGCAAGTTCCTTTTGCTATATATACACACGCAGACACGCGCACTCATGGTTTTTAGACAGTGAAGTTTTCTATCTTGGACTCCTTTTCTACTGTATATTTTGCCGAATTATTTGCCAGTTTCCTTTTCTTTTTTAGTGATTATACGTTTTTGTTCGATTTTTCAAGTTCTGGTAATCCAGGCTAATATGGCTATTGAGTATTCTTCACGATATTCCCCAATGTAATGAAAATATAATCACTGCAAGTTTCTTTTGATATATATTCGCACACATACACGCACACCCCTGGTGTTTAGACAGTGAAGTTTTCCATCTGGAGTCTCTTCTTCTGTATCTTTTGCTGAATTATTTGCCAGTTTCCTTTCTTCTTTAATGATTATACGTTTTTTGTTCAATTTTTCAAATTCTGCCAATCCAGGCTAATATATATTGAGTAAAGAAAATATAAATCACCGCAAGTTTCTTTGTTATATATACACACACACGGATACGCACAAACCTGGTGTTTAGACAGTGAAGTTTTCTATCTTGGACTCCTTTTCTTTTCCAACCTCAATTTGTTTGAAAACCTCTACTGATTCAGTTTTGTTGAATTCATCGAGAAAGAAACATATTCAATTAAAATGTGATATCAGCTTTGGTTTCTAATGGAAGTCCAATTTCAAGCATAACATATGTAGATATATTCTTCAGGTATATCTAATAACCTGCAATACTTGTTTTTTTTTTACAGGAAATAGTAATACAAAGTCTCAGACTAAGGAAGAAGAGGAATCATCCTTTTCTATCCATAAACAACTTGGGGGGATTGTGTATAACTCTTTTCTGAAATCCACCGGCCTCAAGTCCTTTAGTTTCAGCGATCTGAAGACGGCCACAAGGAATTTCCGGCCAGAAAGTTTGCTTGGAGAGGGAGGGTTTGGGTGTGTGTTTAAAGGGTGGATAGATGAGAATACTTTGGCTCCTACTAAACCAGGAAGTGGAGTTATAGTGGCCGTCAAGAGACTCAAGACAGAAAGTTTTCAAGGCCACAAAGAGTGGCTTGTATGTTCCTACTCCAGTTTGATCCATGGTTCTTTTACCTTTTTTACTTATTGAAAATGGAGCTAACTAGGCTTTACCCTTTGAACTTGGCAGGCAGAAGTAAACTATTTGGGTCAACTTCACCATGAAAATCTTGTCAAACTTATTGGCTATTGTGCAGAGTCAGAAAATAAACTTTTAGTTTATGAGTATATGCCAAAGGGAAGTCTGGAGAATCATTTGTTCAGAAGTATGTATTCATCACTGCGGACTTGAGTTCTCTTTTTTTTTTTTTAAGTCTCGTAGCATTTTTGTTTGATGATTCTTTGCAGTAATAACTTCTAGGTCAACTGTTTAATCTCACTTTGAAGAGAAAAAGGAAAATGTTTTGTTTATTCTTGAAAAAATCTATCTTAGTTTATGTATTTCTAAGTGTCTCTACTACTAAATATTTTCTTTTCTGTTCTGATTGAACTATGATATTTTCTTTATGATAAAAGTATAACCTACCATTTAATAGTTGTATGTTAAAAGCAATATGCAAAACTGTATGGAATGGTGTGAACTGGATCAGAATGACTTCAATAAATATGTTACTTTGCTTCATCAGTACTTTTCCTGCTAGATAATACCTGCAAAACATTTATTGGCATCTGTTGTCCTTGTGCAGAAGGTGTTGAGCCTATTTCATGGGTCACACGAATGAGCATTGCAGTTGGTGTTGCACGGGGATTGTCCTTTTTACACAGTTTAGAAGCAAATGTAATCTATCGCGATCTAAAGGCTTCCAACATTTTACTTGATTCAGTAAGTTGAAAATACAACACAAATGTGGTTTTCTGAAACTGTACAGTAAAGGCTAACTGCTGAAGTGATGAAATTTTTGTAGGATTATAAAGCTAAGCTTTCAGATTTTGGATTAGCAAGGGAAGGCCCAACTGGAGATAAGACTCATGTTTCCACCAGAGTGATTGGAACTCGTGGTTATGCTGCCCCAGAATATGTTGCAACAGGTTTGTATAACCTCTGACCAGAGTGGTTCAATTAACTTTCAAGGGCTAGTGGTTTCAGATCAAAATTGTTAGGTTTTGGTGTTACAATATATTGGAAGTAAGGTTAGAGGTCCGAGTTTAGAATAGGAAGAATTTACTGGGATGAAGATTTGTAACATTGTTATGAAGAGAATTGGAGCTGCTCTTAGTTTAATATCTGGTCAAATCTTAATCAAAGATAATCAGAAACCAGAACAGCTTAAAGAACAAAAGGGAAACCTGTACTGTTTCTTCTTTCAAAATGGAAAAATTTATGAATGATTGGAATTTGAACTTCACTTGGCTTATATGAAATAAGCATCTTTCCAATTTGAGAATATCTTGGTCTTAGCCGACCATAATAACATAATATATGATATGAGTGAAAAATAAAACTTTAATTACTCTATTAAGTCTATTTAATGTAAAAGAGAATAAATGCACGAATTTAAATATATATAGTAAAAACTAGTTTCTTATAATTTAATGAGCATCTTATAATTCATAAAATTCGGAGGCAGTATAATCTTTATTCAAAGGCCATCTTGTCCAACTTTTGAGCATTAAGATTCATTGTAGTCGTGAATGATTATTGTAAGAGATTTCAACATATCATAAGATTCTCGTTCTTGAAAATTCCATCTGATTATGTGTTGGTTTAAACCTTGCAGGCCACTTGACTCCAAAGAGCGATGTCTACAGCTTTGGTGTGGTGATGTTGGAGTTGTTATCAGGAAAACGGGCAATTCATGATGAAAGAGGTCGGTTTCTTGATGAAACACTGGTGGATTGGGCAAAACCATTTCTGAGTGACAACAGGAGAGTACTAAGGATCATGGACACAAGGCTAGGAGGTCAGTACTCCAAGAAGGAAGCTCAAGCTGCTGCAACACTTGCGTTGCACTGTCTTCACAGCGATCCCAAGAACAGGCCTCTAATGGCTGATGTCCTTGATGCACTTGAACGACTCCACACATCGAAGAATTCTCCAAGAACACCACTGAACTCACAGCCTAAACATCATCCTCACGGAATCAAGCATATGAGTAGCCCTCACAGGCCAGCTATCCATGTCCTTCCGAAATAAATGTGAAATACACCCTTCAGAAAATCAGATTGATAGTGACTTGTATAATCTTTATTTTTAAATTATATTTTATATCAAGATTACCTGTAGCAAGAGTGCAAATTACAGTAATCTATCGTGTCCGGATCACTATAGTTAGACGTGTCTTTCTAATGAGTAGACATGGGTCTAATGATTCGTAGAGCAAGTAATAAAACCAAGTCTAGGTTCGGATAGAAAATTTACGAGGTTGTATACTTTTTCTGTGACATGTTGCCATCACTGGCCTTTCAAACTCAACAATTCGAGAACATTTTCTAGTTCCGTTTACATGCGAGAAAAATTCGTTGATGTAAATTTATAAATTCTCTTTGTCTCCTTACAAGTATAAATTATCGGTATATTTCATTTTTCGTTTTTTCTTCTAGTGCTAGTATGCCGAAGTAAAGTTGTTATATCATTTTTTCAAGTTGATCAATGACTAATTTACCTTATATCTTGTTTTCGAAATTATTGATCATGTCTATTCGTAGAAAACAATTAATACGTTTAAAATTTATACATTTTTATCGATATACATCTAACAGATTTCTACTCGCTGAATATCAAGATACCGTTTAATCAACATTTGGCAATTAAATATTAAGACATCGCCTAACGAACATTTGATATGCCGCCTAATAGGCATATGACACACATGATAACAAAGATGTCATAAATTTTTTTTACATTTATTCTATTTTCTTATTTTATATTTTTATTAATTAAAAAATAATCTTATATAACTAAACATAAATTAAGAAGTGGTTAATAAGAGTAATTTGGTCAAGTTTGGTAAAATCCCAAAAGATTGAATTTTCTCGAATCAGTTTTTCAACACCTAACACAATCTAATTACGTAATTCCACTTTCGTCTAATCACAATTAACCCAATAATCCAGTAATTAATTTTTCAAATTGAAAATTTGAATTAATTGGAACTGAAAAAACAAATAAAACTAAAACCCGGTTAAGTATTGATCTGTACTCCGCTGTGATTAGTTTACAACTTATGTTAAGTATATAATTATTCAACAATAATAATCATTTATTTCTAAAAATAATTAAAACCAAGGGTAATTTAGTCATTTCATGGTGGGAAAAGATTACGTGCGGATGCGGTAGAATCAGATTCGTACATCCTTTTCTGTTGGCGTTTAGACGAAGCTTTCCTTCATTCCGCCTTTGTATAAATTCATCCCGCGAACCCCTCCTTCATTTTCCATATACGTTGAGTCGCCATACAAGCGCATCTCTGATCCACCCCCTACACCTTCACTTTCTCGTTGATTTTTCTCTCTCCCCAAACACCTTCTACAATGGCTGATCAGCTCACCGACGACCAGATCTCTGAGTTCAAGGAGGCCTTCAGTCTATTCGACAAGGACGGGGATGGTCTCTTCCTAGATCTCTCTTTCTCTCACACTCTCTCTCGATTATACTTTTCTCGTTTGTTTCACTTATTCATTTTCAGCTATTTAAATTCCTAGCTCTGTTGTGATTGTGTTGTGTAAGTTATTGTTTCTGGTTTCGGTTCTCTGTTTGAGTGGATCCTGCAGTTTGTGTGGAAATCGATCTAGAAATGGAGTTTGTTGTGCAATTTTTTTTTTGTGAAATTTCTATCATACTACTCGGATGTCCTCGTGAATCGGTTTTATAACTGGAATCAGACTTTTATTGTGTTTAGGCGAAAGATGATTTTCTTTACCTCATTTCTCGTGTGTCTAGGAAATAATAGAAAACCTTGACCGGTAATGTTGCTTATGCCTGCATTTGACGTTTGATCGAACAGTTATTTTGCAAGAATTTTAATACTGATTAACTATATTCTGTGTTTTCCATGGATTAACGATGAGTAGCCATTCTGTTACTCATTAATTTGAACATCTTTGTTAGCCTAAGGCTCAATTTCTTTACAAGGATGGGCGTTGGGAAATACATCACTCTTGTTATTCCTCTTGACATCTTTATGAATTAATGGTTAACTTTATGGGGTGGTTACGTTCAATTATTGGCAGCCTAGCCATCAATCCCTATTTCAGTTATGAGGAATGCTTGAGTTATGGTGTTGTGAGGAGAGAGAGTATTCAATTAAGCTTTTCGGATTATAATTATGAAGTGTTTAGGTGGATACACACTTACACTTCATCTATCTACCTTGATTTTCTTGTTTCTATCTTCTACTTGTAATTTTTCAGTAGGATAGATCTCTCCCTGTTCATATGGTTGAAAACATAACTCAACTCTGATGATAGAAAATGTCAATTCTGAAAACCAACATACTTTGCATTGTTGTTGAGAACGATCCACTATTAAGTTTTTGAAATTCCCTCTAACATTTGTCCTTGTTATTAATTTCAATACATATTGTTTCTGCTTCAGTCTGTTGCATAAAACATATACCTTGGGAAATACTGATTTTACTTGCTGTGGGTTTTATTGAAGGTTGCATAACAACGAAAGAGCTTGGGACTGTGATGCGATCACTTGGACAAAACCCAACTGAAGCAGAACTCCAGGATATGATAAATGAAGTTGATGCTGATGGGAATGGTACCATTGATTTCCCTGAGTTCCTGAACCTAATGGCTAGGAAGATGAAGGACACTGACTCTGAGGAAGAGCTTAAGGAAGCTTTTAGGGTTTTTGATAAGGACCAAAATGGCTTCATTTCTGCTGCTGAGCTCCGCCATGTGATGACAAACCTTGGTGAGAAGCTGACAGATGAGGAGGTTGATGAGATGATCCGAGAGGCTGATGTGGATGGTGATGGCCAAATCAACTATGAGGAGTTTGTCAAAGTCATGATGGCCAAGTGAGAACCTACAAACCAAAGTCCTAAAGCTTTAAAAAAAGAAAAAAGAAAAAGTGGAACAAGGCAGATAAGTTTGATGAGAATTTAAATTTCCTTGTAGGACTTCTTCATTTGGTGTTATGAGCTCTTGTTTGGTGATTGTCTGTTTCTTCTTTGCATTATTTGTTGGTACTTTTCCTCTTAGTATCCTACTGGTTTGCTCTGCTTCTTGTTCAGTAGTTTGAATTGTTAGTATCTGTCTTCTTATGTTCTGATTAATTTCATCCCTTTTTCTTGTCACGAGCTTAACTAATTTTGATAGTCCGATGTTTTTGCTTATGATTGTCAAATTCTGTCATTGCTCTTGAAATTGTTGAATTCTTCCCTCATTTTCTCCCCTTATGTGATGTTGATTGGCCTGTGTACACTGAATCTGTCATGCAAGTTTACAGCAAACTAGTTGCCATACTTATCTCGAGTATTTGTTTTGACTCAAGCATCTAATCTAACTGATAGATCAGCTTGTTATTAGTGTTGTTTCTTCCCTCCAAGATTAGAGAGTTTTGACATATAAGTGCTAACTGTTAGTTGGTTTCGTGGTTTTATTTTTTTTCTTATTGACACGCTAGAGTTTGCTCTCGGTAACTATTAAACTTAGTGTCATTGCAGTATGCATATGGTGTATATCACTGTATCTACTGTCTTCCCATCTCTCTGTCACTGCTTTATTTTTTTCCATTTTGCCATCAAATGACATTTTTTCTTATTTGCAAAATTCTATTTCTTCTGCTACTACAGTTGTCCTCTTTTCTTAAAATAACATTTTATTTGAAAAAAAAGAAAAAACTTTTTCAATTTCATTAGAGCATTACCTTTCTTCTTTTTCTTTTTTCTCTTTTAAAGTCTGACATTAATAATGAAAAGTAGTGCTTATTTTAGATTCTCTTGTCTCCATCCCACCTTTTATTGTTTGAGAATCTGAACTATTCATCATACCAAAATAGTCCATATTCACCCCATAGTGAAGCTGTATGTATCTCGATATATAGATGTATGTTAAGTGACTGAAGCTTTTACTGAAAAAACGAGAAAAAAAAAAAAAATTGTTGAGGAGTTCAAAGTCATAATTAAGTTGAAGTGTTTAAAAGTAGAAGTGCGTGGTTTTGGCTTGCAGCGGGGTGAATGACAAAATAAGAATGAGGAGAAAACCCAAGAAACAGCGGAAAGCAGATAGAACAATCTTCTCTCCTATTAGGTACATAATAAGAAAGACAATGTATATACCCACTAATCTTAGGTTTCAAACAAAGAAAAATTGTTTTCAAATTCTTCATAAACATCTGATATTGGGTTTCTCTCTCTCTCTCTCTCTCTCTCTCTCTTTTTTTCTTCTCTTGTAAATTCATTGAGTTCTTTTTACTGTCTTGCTTTGAAAAATAAAACTATTTATATTATTATTTTGAAAAACTTTGCAGGAGGATTGATCTTATTGTGATTCAATTTTTGTGATTTTTTTGGGGGTGAACTTTGTAACATAGATTCCATTCTCTAAATTTTATGGAGAATATAATCTTCGTGGGTGGAGATTGGAATTTTATTCTACGAATCTCCCTGTTTGGGAGAAGAACCAACCCACCACCATATGGAATCCTCTTGCTTTAAAGACCATCCTGTGCTATCTGTGCTTTTTTTTTTTAGGATTAATTCAAAATATAAATTTAGTACTGTTCTTTATATTTACTCGATCTTGTCTTTTTTTATTTTCCTTAAATTTTATGTTAAATTAATTTTTTTATTTTTTTTTAAAAATGTGAATTAGTCCCTCTCTGTTCATTTCTTACTATCAAGAAAACCATTAAGCTTTTATTCTCTCAAGTTTCTTTGCCCCCCCCCCCCAAAAAAAAAGGAAACTTAAACCATTAGAAGAAAAAAGTGTTGAGTAAAGAAAATTAAAGGGAAAATCATTGGTTGGTTAAGAAATTACCCAATAAAAAATGTTATTAGAATTGGAATAACATTCTCAATAGCTACATAATATTCTCTTTGAATAAAAAACCCCACTGTCCTTTGATCCAGTGTCATAAGAAGAAGAAACAAAAAAAAAAAAACAATGAATAATTCCTTATTCCTTTTTTTGTTTTTTCCCACTGTTTTCGAGGCCCATTAGTGGTCCAACTCTTGGGAAACTAAGAGCATCCAGCCCCGTATCTTTTAATTACATATGTCAACTAGGAGTGATTCTCAAATATTTTCGAAATAAATATAAGTAGTTGATTTCAAAATTTTGCTCTATAGTTTTTGATATATAATTAAAATGAACCAATAATATTTACGAAATATTCTAACCGATTATCCTTGTGGAACATCTTTATAATCTTTTGTTCACTATGTGTAATCTACTTGGTGACAAGATGACGAGAGAATTTTTTTTTTTTTTTTTATTGTATTTATTCTTTAAATAAAAATAATTTTAATCTTGGTATAATTTGTGCTATTTGCCCTTTATTTTACAATGTTGAGTTTGTTAGGTTTAATAACAGTTAAAAATATATATATATATAAATTAGAGTAGATTAATTTCAAGCCATTAAAAGAAGAAAATATTTCAAATGCATTTGGAATTTAATTTTTTAAAAAAAAAAAAAATTAAAAAAGGGCTGTTGGGGTGACGAAGGTGACGAAATGTGTTGTTTTATTTTTTGAAGCAGGAGGAGGGAAAGGATGCACGAGTTTTCAAGCAGTAAAGACTGGAAGGAAGACAAGTCAAAATCCATATGTAAAAAGAAACGACGTCGGAGAGATCGTCTGCGCGAATGCACCATTCTCTAATTATCATTCATCATCTTTACTCTACATTTATATGCTCTCCCAACTATCTGTAACCTTCATAATATTACTAATTATCATTATTAATATTACCCATGCCTTTCACTAATGTTGCTACTATTAAGGGTTCAATTTGGCACGACTTGTGCTTGTGCGTATGTTTTAAGTCATTGAAAATTCCAAAAAAAAAAAAAAAAAAAAATACTTGATTTAATGTATGTTTATTTACTTATACGTGAGAATTTGTTAAAAATACATGTAAATGAAAAAGTTATTAAAATAAATGTGTGAGAACTTTATTTTATAATAAAAATATTATAGTAAAAATGTAAAATAGACTTATGATATAATTAATAATAAAAAAAAACATATAACTGGCCTGTAACTTTTGATTTATTAAAATTGAACACTTAAATTACTAATGTGTTAGTAAAACTATCATAACTACATTGAACTTAATTTAACTAAGTCTATTATATAATTAAGCAACCGAAACATTCTTAATTAGAATAATTAGAGTCAGTGAAAAATTCAATTCAATCTTTTTTAAAATTAAAGAATAAGAAAAAAAAAAAACCATTTTTACATAAAGAAAAAGGCAAGTCTTTCTCCACAAATGACACTGAAAATGAGACACAAAATTAAAAGATATGCAACAAATAAACCCATAAACTTCCCTTCAAAATACTTTCTAACATAATTATTGAATCAAAATTTAAGCTATTAAGTGAAAAACCAAATTTTCTACTCAAGAATTATAAATTGAATTGCACTAGAAAATTTGAGACGTGGCTGATCAGTCAAAACTCCTTATATATGTATATATATTATAAAAATTCCAAAAATATTTCTTTTTAACCGGTGCAGATTATGCAATTATTAGCTTGTATTTAAGCAAATATAAGTTATTTAATCAGATTTACTTACCATTCACATATTATTCCTGATTTGATTGTGATTTGCTAGAACAATTTGAATGCTTTTGTTATTAATCAAACCAGAGAATTATATTCGAATCATAAATCGTAAAATCATATTGGTAGTGCTAGGCATTAGGATGTTTATGATTTATGAAATGCAAGTATGTTGTAAAATTCATTAATAGAAAAGATGCAGGCCCATTCAATCTAGCCAGAAAAGCTAACACCGTGATCAATGGAGAATAACCTACTTTTTTGAGAGTTTTTTCTTGGCACTAACTGCTGGTTGTGGCTTAGGGTGCTTCTCGACTTCGCTAGGATCTAACCATTTGAGCGGGTGGCAATTGAAAAAAGGCCAATTGGGTACGGTTACAAGAGTCGTGAGGACTACGCCACCAGCATAAATGATCATCATTGTCTGAAATGATCCCAGTATAAATCCGGCTGCAAATGCAACCACACCAAACACCAGCAGCATTATCTGCATCAGCTGCTCTGCTAACTTCTGCCCTTGCCAGTCCATCCTCTGCAAGAAACATTGCCGCTAACTGTTAAACTAAGTTCAAGGGGCCAAAGAAACAAATCGAAAAATTCAGATTATGGGAGGAAATAAAACTAATTGGAGAGGATTCCAAAATGAGTGGGTCTGTAAAGTGGATCTGTATTTCTTCTTACATTCTGGGAACCATTTGCAGACTTTTACAGGATACGAATAAAAGATCAAGCTGATTTCTTTTAGGAATTAGTACAAGAAACACAGATTGTGTTACATAGAAATCAGGCTGGTAATTGGAATTGGAATTCATAAACCCAATTTTGTTCTAACATGAAAAAGTAAATGGATAGAGAGGTGAACCTACAAATAACAAGTGATTGAGGGGGGGACAGGGATGGGGATTTATACAGACGAAAACAAGGTAAAGAGAAAATCTAAAGCCAGCAAGATTAAAAATAAGTAAAAGGATACTGAATCCTTCCTGTAGTACCACTAGAACAGTAATTTCATGCAAAGTAAGAAAATCAAGTGATGAATTAAGAGAATAACTATAACAGCAATAACAACAATAAAGGAACAAGTTAGCATATAAGAGTAATGCTGCCATGAATGAGAAAGTAGTGAAAGAAACAGTAATGTAAGTAGGCAACTGATCCCCCTAAACAAAACATTTTAAAGACAATTTTAAGAGAAAACTTCTTAAAACTGCATACAACATTCACTCAGCAAGCAGAAGAATGCCTTCAATTTAAGTTGCCACAAAAGAAGTGAACCTGGGAACTCACTGGAACCAGCAAGCCTTGGAGTAAATGATACAATATGCCCATCTCAAACCCAATCTATTCCTCAAATCCCGAACCAACTAAACTCAATTCTCAAGCATGTCTTATTATGTCCTTTCATGGTTTATTAAAATCAAATAGTACTAATAACTGAAAGCAAACTACATGCAAAACTAGAACATCCTCATTCATTTAATAACATTTAGACGAAATGTCGTGCACACACATAAATATATAAACAGAAAATAGCGTACATAATCGCATTCGTAACAACATACAAATAACACAAATAGATAATAGCATACATAAGAAAATAGGTCTCAATGCATATTTATGTAAACCATACATACTTAAATATAAATAGATATGCACGTGAATCAATCGAATTGGTATAACAGAACAACACAAACGATGAAATAAGAACTCAAGAACCTCACAGATTGGATTTAAACCATAATAGGACAAACAATGAAAGCTCTAAAAAGGATAAATGAAAAGAACAAAAATAAGAACTCGAGAAATTAGACACGCGCACTGAAATCAGATCGGCGTAGATGCAAGACAAATATATAACATTTGTGAAGAGATAGGTCGCCGGGTATAGAAATGTAAATAGCTATGTGCGCGAAAAAGCTGATAAGAATTAACAAATCGAGGAGACCTACAATGAAAAAGCAATCCTAGCATGTTCTAAATTATCTTAAAGTGAACCTACACCACCAAACAAAATGCGATTCAAGGAAAAACGAAGACCTACACACAGAAATTTAATTCAGGAACCCCGATCAGGAAAGCATGCGGATCCTCAAAATCATTTTGCTAAAAACGAAAGTGAAAAACAAAAAACACACGCCTTAATCGGATAAAACAAGGATATAAGATAGATTCGGCGTACTACCTGCTTGAAAGAAGATGAAATCGAGTCGCAGATGTCTCTAGGTGCCTGCGGAACAGTATCGACGAAGAGGAAAATAAGTAAGCCCTCGATTCTGAGCGTACGAGACCGAAAAGAGGAGAGCAAATTACTCTGGGGTTTATTTATTTATTTATTTATTTTATTTATTTTTTTTCCCGTTCAATTTTAACCGTAATTAATTAATTACTGCAATTCAATTTTAAATTTTTTATTTTTTTAAATCATGAACTAAGTTAATTTTATGTGTTAAAATAAAGCTTACTTGTAAAAATAAGTATTTTTTTTACCGCTGTAATTATTTTTTTACTGTTTTATTTTATTTCTTTAACGAATTATTTAATTAACTTACATTTAAAAATAAATATATATTTTTTTTTTAAAATCCAAATCCGAAATTAAATCAATAATTTTTATACTGTCTTAATTAAGATATCAGATATGGGATAAAAGAAGTAATCTTTGATAGTCAAATTTGAATATTACAGAATTAAAATAAATTTTAAATTAAATAAGTTTTTAATTCACACTGAATTTTAAAAAAATCCAAATGACTATTTTACAAAATAAATAAATAGGATTGGCATATGTTTTTTAGTATTAATTATTTAGTGGTAATTGTTTTTATCTAAGTCAAATTTTTTTACTTTACAGTTTTATAATTTAAATACTTACATTATTTAATAAATATATACAAAAATTTTCAGTATAATTTAGTTCTAACAGAAGTTACACGGGTCTAAAAAATTTATTTCATTCAATTTTAAG